CTACAAACTCGTGAAGCTTTCTGACTTATGGAAACTGCTTTAGACTAGCTCTTCCTAGAATTAATAAGGCTATGTTTTGGCTGTTACATTTATAAATATTGTTCACTGAAAGGACAAAATGACATGCTGCTCTAAGTTTCCAGATATTGATATTTTAATGATTTTGGTCAGGCTATCCAAAGAGCACATGGCAGCAGCAAACCTGCCTCTTCCTTGGTTAACTATGTCCCTCTGTAGCTCCAGAACCTTATGATTCAAACGTCATATTCTGAATTTAAGTTTTCCTTTGGAGCTCTGTAAAATATAAAATGATGAATTTTAAAGAATCAGATCTCTGGTTTTAAACCTTGAAGCTGTATATTTATGGTTTTAAGACAAGATAAATAAGGGTAGAAGATGTTTGTCTTGTTTACAATTTAATTTGTCTTGAATGAGAAATATCTGTGTGATTTTGACTTCATGGGACAGGTAAACTTTTCCTTTGTACTCATGGAACCTCAAGGCCATGGAGTTGTGTGTAGTTTTCTTCTGTGGTATAACGTCCTTGAGGCAATTCATAGTTTATGGTCACAGTTTAGAGAAGGTTTGAGTATGTCCCCAAAGGGTTCATGAGTTGAAAACTAGGTCCCAGTATCATGGCTCTGAGAGGTGTGAGGGCCAGTAAGAACTCCTTAGATCACTAGGAAAGCTGCCCTTGGAAGGGATTTAGATAGCTCTTGTGGATCCCTGAGCTCTCGTGAGAGTGAGTTCTAAGAGTGAACTTGGCTCCTGGGACATTCTCCAGCGCCCTGTTTTTGAGATGTGATCTCTTCTTTCTCCTTCCTCTGCTCCATGGGACCCTCACCAGGGCTGATGTGATGTTGTTTGTATTTTCAGCCTCCAAAACTGTGAGATAAATCAATCTCTTTTCTTTATAAAGTTAGCCTATCTCAGGTATTTCATTAAAGTAATATAAAATGAACTAATAAACTTACATGTACAGGTTACCAAGGTTAACTTTCTGTTAAAGTACTTTGTGCCCTAGCTTATATATAGTAATGATATAATTATTATATGACATTAGAACATCTCTTTTGAGTGAACACTAAAAAAATCATGCAATCCTTTGAATATTGGTTTTCAGGGTTCAAATAAACCAGTTTAGTTATTTTGCCTAAATTGATCCAAATTGTGTAACTGAAAATGGCCACTGACCTACTTGTTTTATGATGTGAGTTAGATCAGAAATAATGTAATTATAAGTAAATGCAATTTTATTAATTGCCTCTAATACACAGGGAAAATATAACTTTTAAATGATCACTTCTAAAAATGTGGTAACTCTAAATCTTAAAGATTTTCTAGATCTTAAGATTTCAAAGTTATATTCAGCAATAGAACTTTCTTTAATCTCATTATCATACTGATGTTGATCTGACTGCTTTAGTGAGCTATGAATTTAATTTGGGGAAGATTCAGTAATTTCCAGGTCTTTTAATATATTCTAATATATCCTTCCATTTTGTTCTTTTACATTGTGTACAATATTTAGCTTCTGCCCATCATTTTCCTTAATATTATTTTGAAACAAAATTCATATTTTATTTTGATTGAAATAAACTCTACACAATTGCTTTTCTTTTTCATCTGGTACTGGGGATGAAATTTGGGACCTTGCACTTGTGAGCCAGGTGGTAGAACCACTGAGCTAAATCCCTGGCCCTCTGCACAATTGATTTTTCTACAACCAAAAATAAAAGTAATATTTTTTTGTATTATTTCTTGATAAACCGCACTCATTTTGTGGGTTTTCCGGGTTTTGCTTATAAATCAAGATGAAGTAGTAGATACAGTCATGGAAAAAGACAGAAGAAAACAGACCAGTCACTCGCTTGTGTGGATAGCCTGTGATTCTGTCTTGACCATAGAGCAGAAGTGTTCAACACTGACCTGCTAAAAAGCTAAAGGGAGTATAATCTTTTTTTCTTTTTTTTTGGTACCGGGGATTGAACTTGGGTCTTTGTGCTTGCAAGGCAGGCCACCAAACCGGTGAGCTAAATCCCCAGCCCAAAGGGAGTATAATCTTAACAAATATAAACAGCAGCAAGATGTGGAACAATGGCAAGCTCTTCCATTCTAACTTCAGTTGTAATTTGTTCCCTTAAGTTTGTTTGATGAAGGCAAAGTCTGCACTGAAATCTGGTGAGCTCGGAAACTTCTCTCTATCCATTACAGAATTATTGCTTCTCAGCCTTAGGGCTAAGAACAAGTGTAATGTCCATTATAGAATTTTTCTTTTTCTTTTCTTTTTTTTTGGTTTGTTGAGACAGGGTCTCACTATGTAGCTGAGTCTGATCTGGAACTCACTATGTAGTCCAGGCTGGTCTCAAACTAACGGTGTCACCACGCCTGGCTTCTCTGATTTCTTTTTAAAAATTTACTTGTGTTTTTAATTTTTATTTTTACTGGTACATGTTTGCAGAACATAAGAATAACATTCATCGTAGGGAGTTGGTGCATGTGCATAACACATCTGCATAATTATTTTTATGCCCTTCCCCAGTACAGAATTTAAAAAAAAATTTTTTTTTAAATCTCCAGGTACCAGGGATTGAACTCAGGACCTGGGCACTCGCCTGGCAGAGGTGCGTCCCCATCCCTCTTTGAAATATATTTGGTCTTTTTTTTTTTTTAATCTTCTGGTACTGGGAAATGAACTAGGGACTTTGTGTCCCTGGCCCTGTTTGAAAAGTATTTTATCTTTCTTTTGTTTTCTTTTGATTTCCTGGTACTGCGGATCAAACTCGGAAACACTTTCTGGGCAGGTGCGGCACTGCTGAACTACATCCTTGGCCCTTTATTACAGATTTTTAACAACACATTTAAAACAACCAACCAAAGGTCAATGGTGAGCAGTACTATAACTCTTTGCTGTTATTGTTATCGTTGTTCTTGTTTTGGTTTTTTGAGGCAGGATCTTGCTCTGTAATTCAGGCTGGCCTTAAACTCACTATGTTATCTCAAACTTGCTGTGATCCTCTTGCCTCTGCTTCCCAGAGCTGGGATTGCAGCATGCAACACCACTCATTCCTTTCTCCCACACCTCCTGAACGTGTATTTCATCAAAAATCAATAATTCAATACCTGACAAATAGATTGACGGTGATAATGAATGTTTTACCTAAAATGGCTTAACTAAAACAGTTCCAGAGCGCCACCTGCCACAGTTACATGAAAGGGAAGCATGGCTCCTTTAACGCTATCTTGCAGAAGAACAGACCGGCCTTGGAGGCAAGAGAGTTCAAGCAGGAGCTGTTTCAGACGTAGATGATCAAAGCCCAATGTATTCAATGAGAGGCCTACAGGCAAAAGTATTCAGTGATTAAGTGGCCTCCATACATCCATGGCTTTTTCTCCCAAATGTCAATGTAAGAGAAAAGTCCATTTTTAAAGTCTCAGGTATTTTCAACGTTTTCTGAGTCACCTGTAGGAAGCTCTGACTTAATTGTATGTCTTTTGATATTTGTCCATCGTTAAGTCCAGATCATGTTTTAAAAAACATTTATTTATTTATTTCTAGATATGATTTATATCAAAATTTATGTTAGGCAAAGCCAGGTTACTCAATCTTTGTCCTGTTCAAGTGTTCTGGAAGCTCCCTTTGCGGTGCTTTCCTCCGTTTTCATAGCACTCTTCTCAACGTGCATCACTGGAAGCTATATAGGATCTTCAGCAAGGCATACACACTAGGAAAAAAACTTGATGTTGGGCACGTGGAGGGCTTCATGCATGGTGGATGGAAGTTTTGTGATTCTTTCTCTGATTTCTCCAACAGTGAAGCTCAGCTGAGAGTGTGCCAGGACTGGGTAAGTTACTTTTGTGCACGTCAGCACGATGATCCTCTGATGTGATGGATTTAATCTATCCCAGGATTGGGGTACCAGAGAGAAGTATTTAAGAGTTTGGAGGTATGATTCTGGTAATGTCAATCCTTCAGTTCCCGATAATGTGCTCCACTGTTGGGACATACAAACTTTCTTTTTTCTGTGTGTGTGTGTGTGTGTGTGTGTGTGTGTGTGTGTGTGAACTAAAATTGCATGTAACATTTTTATTTTGGATTGCACAAACAAAAACAAGCAAACAAACAACCAGAAAATGTGAACTAGGCTCATCAAATGATGTCGTCATCCTTTCCAGGAGAGCAGAAGGCAGACCCTATCACAAAGAAAAAACACTTAGTTAATAGACATTAAATTTAGAAGTACACTAAAATAGTATCAGTTTAACTTCTGAAAATTCTAGGTTTTATTCACTTCTCTGTGGCAACCATAACCTTGTAAGTTAGGCTTCCCTATAATTATCATATATACAAATTTATATTATGTATAAAAATCCATTATATTTATATAACATAAAATCTATTATATTTATATAAAAATCCACTATATTAAAATCCATATATAAAAATCCATTAATAAGCTAACAATTATCATCAGATTTGGTCTTACTGGAAATTCTTAACCACGAGTCTTTTTTTAAATTTTCTTTTTGGTGCCAGGGATTGAACTTAGGACCTTGTGCCTGCAGGCAGCAGAACCACTGAGCTAAATCCTTGGCTCTTTTTTTCCTTTAAATGGTGATTTACCTTAGTATAAGTCACTGCATTTCTGTAAGAAAACAAAACGAGAAGAACAACTATGCAAGTGACAAATCCACTCTACTACCTGCAGGAAAGCTATCTTGGTTCCTTAGGAAAAAGTTAATTTTCGTAGTTGTACTCCAATAATTATATGATGCAAAGAGCCAAATTGCAGCAATGAATTGACATGTTTCAAAGAGTATGTACACAGTAAAATTATAGTTTAAAATGCTAATTAAACAAATTGATCTTTAAAATATCAATTCCTTTAAAATAATTACTGAGTTTACCAAGTAGAGACAGAAACAAGGCTGTAAGTAAATAATAGTTGTGTTTAGGCTATTGCAGTGTGGGTTATTCTCAAGGCCACATACATCCTGCTTTACTGTTGCTTGCACTCTGCTGGGTTTTGCTCCTTCTTTGGGGTTATAGTCTGGATCATTTTCCTCATCTCCTTCTTCTTCCCCTTCCTCATCCACTCCTTCACTTTCTTCATCATAATCATTATCATCATTTTCAACAACTTCTCCAGTGAAGTACAACATCAATCTTGGAATTACATGCTCATGTAAAAAGTGACCAATTTCAAAGTCTGCAGCAAGGATAGCTTCAGCAGCATCATCCAGATCTCCACTCTCAGGAGTTTCTGGAGGAGCAAAAAAATTAAAGAAAGAATCATTGGAAACTGTTTTAGTCACAGTATGAACTGTTCCACATCCCTTATGTTTCTGCTTTGTTTTAATGGTTTTCAAAGTGACATTCTTTCCTTTTTTCCAATCTATTTGGCACCCTGTACAGCCCATAATTTCTGGTCCATCAAATGAAAAGGGATTAGAATCACCTGGTTCAGATCTCATCCTATACATCTTTGTCAACACTTCATTTGTGAAATATTCATCGGGTTCAAAGTGAATTCTCAGATAAAACTCCTAGGCTGGCCAGCATCTGAGAACTCCACTTTTATGTCCTTCAAATGCTTCAGAATAAGTTCATCATGTTTCTGAACCATGTCACTGAGCAGTTCAACATTCTTAAACACAGTCAACCAAAATTCAGGAATTCCTTTAGGATCTTCTTTTTTTTCATCTTTTTTCTCATCTTCAATCTTGGCCTTTTCTTTCAGCTCCTCTGAAATTTCTTCTTCCTCATCTGGTTTCCACTCACATTCTTCTTCCGTAGGTTCATAAATTGCATTAATGATCTCAAATTGCTTATCAACTAGAGGTTGGTAGAGAACAGCATACTTCCTTTCAAGATCACAAACTTCCTCATAGAATTTGGCTTCTATTTGTGCATATTTAACTTGAAGGTTTTTAAGGGCATTCACTCTTCTTTTAGCTATAGTAGGCAAGTTGTCAATGTCTGCTATGTAGTGTGATTGGAAAATATCAGCAGCTAGTTTGGGGAGTCACAAAGCTGGAGCTGTGCAGGAAGTGACTGAGGGTGGCTGCAGTGGTCGGAGGAAACCAAGCATTCTTTTTTTTTTGAGGGGGGTACCTGGAATCAAACTCCAGCCCTTGTGCTTGTGAGGCAGGTGCAGGAACTACTGAGCTAAATTCCCAGCCCCAGGATTTCTTTATAGTGACTTTCAAAGGGTTTTAGTGATCCACAGTCACCCAGGATACCAAAGCATAAAATGGGAAATTCCACAAATAAATAACTTGTAAGTTTTAAATTGCCAATTGTTATGAGAGGCATATTGTCACATTCCAACTCTACTGGGACATGAATCATTCCTTTGTCCAGTGTATCCATACTGTATACACTACCTGCCCATTAGTCACTTAGTAGTCATCTTGGTTATCAAATTGACAGTTGTGGTATTAAAGTGCTTGTGTTCAATAACCTTTGTTTTACTTAATGCTGACCACAAATTGCACAAGTAGTAATATTGGAAATTTGGATATGCCAAAAAGAAGCCAAAATGGGCTTCCTTTCAGTAAAAAGTAAAAGTTCTTGACTTAATAAGGAAAAAAGAAAAATGGAATGTTGGGATTGTTAAAAATCTATGTTAAGAATGAATTTTTGAGGGGAGGAGAGGGTGAAGGGAGGGCAGAGACAAGGGGAAAAAATGAGAACCAAGACCTGTCATGTAAAGGTACAAGATCCCAATAATGAATGTAATGGTACTGTATGCCTAAAATGTACCAATAAGCTCAATTTTTAAAAGTATGAATTTTTATCTGTGAAATTGTAGGAAAGAAAAACAAAATTCTTTCTACTCTTGTTATTGTACCTCAAACTGCAAAAGTTGCAATCATAATATGTGTAAGAAAAGGCATAGTATAAATTAGGCTTGATGCTATCATGGTTGCAGGCATCCACTAGGGGTTTTGGAATGTTGGAGATTTCTTGGGTGTTGCTTTATTCCAGTATTTTTTTTCATGAGCTGAAAGAAAAAAAAGACCCATCAGAAATAGCTGGAGTCAACAACCCAAATGTCCATCAATAGATTAAAACAAATTGTGGTATATCCTTAAAATGGAATATTATTCAACAATAAAAAGGAATGAAATACTGATTCCTGCTCTAACATGGATTATCCTTGAAAACACTAACCTGTGAAAGAATCCAGACAGAAAGAGTCTCATATTGTGGCTGCTTTAAGGACCTATCAAAGAATAGGTAAATCCTTAGGGCAGGAAAAGTAGATTAAGGGTAGCCAGAAGATAGGAATTGGAAAGGTACAGAATGACTACTGAGTGGGCACAGAGTATTTTTATGGAATGATGAAAAAGCTTTGAAACTAGAGAAAGCTTGTGGTTGTATGACATTGTGAACACTAAAAACACAGAATTGTACACTTTTAAATGGTTAATTGTACATTATATGAATTTCATGTCAACTTTAAAAAATGGGAAGTGTTTTTTCTTTAAAGGATGAGCACTTACCAGCCCCAGCCCACTTTCTAATTTGCTTCCTGAGAAGCATTCTGACATGCAAGCCCACTTTATCAAAGGTGTGAGGTGACTACCTGGCTCAGAGTGACTCATTATTATGTGACTTGGAGGCTTGAGAGCGACGCATTTTATGCAATTTGCTGATTATTCCTTTAAGCAATCCTAATGTTTAGTCCCGTGGGCAGCAAGACATAGCGTGTGATTAGAGCAGAAGCAATTATTCTTAGAAAAGCATCATTAATTTCAAAAGCTCATGTCCTAAGCTATGTGGCTAAGTGGAGACAAATTAGTATGCTGCCCAGAGGACACAAAGTGAAGAAAATATAGTAGTTTCTCCCCTCTCTTTTTCGTGGTAGTGGGGCTTGAACTCAGGAACACTCTTAACACTAGCCCTCTACATTGCTGACCCCCTTTTAAAAATTGTTTTAAGATAAGGTCTGGCTAAATTACCGAGGCAGAACTTGGACTTGGAATTCTCCTGCCTCAGCATCTCTAAGTGCTGGGATTTCGGGTATGTGCCACCGCACCCAGCTGGTTTTCCCATCTTTAGGACAGAAAGGAAACCTAATGTCATGCCATTAACAAGAAATTAAACTTCCTGGTGAGTGTGTGTGTGTGTGTGTGTGTGTGTGTGCGCGTGTGTGTGTGCATGGTGGGTTTGGGAGAAGGCCATGGGTAGGAAGATTAGTTGTGGGAAACCTAGTGTTTTGTAGCAATTTTACTTCAAGCTGCTTTAGGGTTGTGTTGCTTTGTTTCCATGTTAGGAAAGAGCTATTTATCTCCATCACAGAGACTTTCTGGCATCTGATTAATAATGTACAAAGGCAGGGCACATTTTCAGGAGACCAGGCTTCTAGAGCTCATGCTAGGATCTACTGTGCCCAGCCACAGTGCTCCTCCTTTTGCTGAGCCTTGTTCTGCAGTGAACAAAATCCAAGCACAAGCAAGGTGTCTCCCAGAGGCAGACTCCTGAGGCCACTCCTGTTTCAGGTGTTCTACTCTGGATCCTTTCCACCTGGACAAGCTCCAAGGGCCCCTCCAGCTAATGCACATAGGTGCAATGCAACACCTGCAGCCACCTTGGGTTACCTCTGATGGGTCTCTGCTTGTCATGAGGGCTGACCCCTTTCTTCCCACCAGCGCTTTCTTCTTCCTCTCCATTCCCCATGTGACAAGCTCTGGCACAAATCTTGACCACAGACTTAATTAAAGGACATGCCATTTAACCTTTGTGTTTCTGTTTTCTCATTGATAAATAATCATCACTGTGGAGACCAGATAAAGTGCCAAAGCCTGTGTCTCTTCCTCTGAGACTGCTCCTCCTGTCTTGACCCCCTGCTCTGGTTAGGTTGCCCCTGGCTCCCAGCTGGTTATGGGGATGCACCCCCTCGCTAAAGCCTAGAACTGGTGACTCACTTGGTTTTCAGGGTATGGTGTAATAGTCTGTTAGGACCCTGGTTCCATTTTGAATTAATGGCCCTCTAGACATACTGGCAAAAAACTTCTTCAAAAGTTAAAAATAGAAAAAATAGAAGAATAAATGCACAGGATCCAAAATAATTCTGACATTTTCAAATTCAGCAGATTTGATGCATGGTGGGAGGTTAGCATAGCACAGTGGGTAAGAACATGCGTGGGTCTGAGTCAGAATGATGTGGATTCCAACCTGTATTGACTTGGACAGGTAGCCTGTTCTTTTTATCTGTTAGGTGGGTAAATGCTAGACTGTCCTCACTGCGTTTTTGTGATGACACATGTTCCATATGTGCAAACCACATCTAGAGTCACCACCAAAGTGATGGCAGGGGAGTTTCCATGAGACAATACTCTGAAGCATCCTGCCTGTTTGTATTTCAAACAAAGATGCACTGAACTGGAGGGTGATAAATCTAAGGCACCTATTGGGGAAACTTACATACAGAGGCCTGCAGCTCCTCCCCAGTGGACAAAAGGATAAGAGAAATTCTACTGAGATATGTCTGTAATGCAGGAGGCCAGCTATGGTGTTTATGTGAAGGTTTAAGGAATTTGGCTCGGGGCTGACCTTGTTTCTTTCATGGTCTGGCCAATAACCCAGTGCCACGAATCAAGGCCCTCATTTGGTTCAAGCCCACAGGGGAAAACCTGCAATCAGCTGAGTCGCAGAGCAGACAAAGCACCAAGTTTCAGCCAGAACAAAGAAAAGAGTGAGGGATCTGGGGGACCCTATGCCATAAGATGATGTATGTATTAACATTTGTTAATATTTCCACGGACCAGCGCATTATCTACAGAGGTTAGTGGCAGACCTCTTATTATCCTCACCCATTTTATAGATGAAGAAACTGAGGGATGGAGAGGTGAGGTGACCCTTCAGCACAGTACAGATAATAGACGGACCAGGGTATCTGTCATCAGAAGCCCTGCTAAGGAAGTGCTGCACCTTGGAATCTTTTTCTGGCATACTGGATATCCTCAGGAAAACTGCCTATGATTATTATTGTTTATAAATGTGCATTAAGTCTGAATCAGCATCAGATGAGTTTGTTTAAAATTCCTTAAAACATTTAAAAGATGGCAAAATAAAAATTATACTAGGTAGCAGATGCAAGTAACTTTTTTTTTTTTTTGGTAGGGGGTTGGGGGTCAAACTCTGGTCCTTGTGCTTGCGAGGCAGGCAGCAGAACCACTGAGCTAAATCCCTGGCCCTTGCAATTAACTTTTAAGAGGCGGTAAAATTGCTTTTAGTTTATACCTCATAATCGCATATTATGAGAAGGGTCCCTACTTCCTATGATTAGACACCTCCTGCCTGGATGTCCTTGTGTGTACCACCTTCCCATGGTCTCGTGGTCACATTCTTTCCTTTCTTGCTAGGCCCAGCTCTAGTCTTTGATGAAGTGTTCCAGAAGGGCCTAGGAAGTAGGCTGTCTCTGCTGGCTATTCCTCTCCCAGGGCTGGTTCCTAGGCCTGCCCCAACTGACTTTGTAATGGCCTTTCTAGCTTTGTTCATTCCACTATCTGAATTTTTGTTCTAATGTACAATCTTAATTTGAGATTTTTATAGCTAGCTCTAAATAAGTGAGATTATATGTACACTTGTTACCTATTTCCCATACATCAGCCCATTTAATTTTCACAGTGATAGTTTATATTTTTCAATTCTTTGTTGTAATAAAAAAAAGTCTAACCAAAGTCATAGGCTTTAGTTTAGCTTGTGTACCTGGGAGAAAATAAAATTAGTCTTTTCCTGGCTTAAACAAAATATTTTTACCTTTGAGAAAACACAGATATATTTAAATTCACTACCTTAGCAATCCACTATTAAGATAACCAAATAAAATTTCAGACCTTAAGAGGCAAGAGTTTTCTTTCATAGTCTGTGTCTCTTAGAAAGACCGTTTGCCAGAGCAATTTTGTGAAACCAGCATGAAGAAGTAGAGATCATTTGTCTCAATTCTCCACCCCTCCCTGCACTTCAGATCCACTTTCCCGCTTTTTTATGTAGTCTTGGCTGTGAGACTTGTTTGGCCAACAGAATTAAGCAGAAGCTCAGGACAGCCATTAAGACTGGAAGGACAGATGAATGGAAGAATCTGAAATACAGCAGAGAGGGAGAACCTGGGCTCCGCGTAGGGAAGTTAGGGGTCCTGGCTAATCAGACTGGGACAGAGAGATTCTCACTGCCTGGTGGATAGCAATTGCTTTGGCTCCATTTCCAACTTGGGCCCGATTTCCAACTAGAGAAAGCCCAATAGGATCCCTGCACAATCATACAGGATGCCCCTTCCGGTTAGCTTCCTACCCAGGAGCCTCCAACCAGAGCACACCTGAAGCTTTCCCTCGTCCACTCTAAAGTCTTCCGACTTCTCTGCCTGCCTGGGAGTCTCCATGGTGGTGCCTGACTCCTGCTATAGTAAAGCTCTAAATAAATAGTACTGACTGCTCTCATCTGGGTGATCATCATTTATTTTCACACGTTGGAAGCAACTGCTTCATTTAGTAGATTGACATAGGTGCACTTAAATTATTTTTATTGATAAGAAGATAGAAATACACCAGTCTCATCAGTACATACTTGTATATATGTGTTGAAATACTACACTGTACCCTATAAACATATGCAGTTATTACATGTTAATAAAAGATTTTAATTAAACGCAACAAACTTTTATTGCATACTCGCTATATACTATCGTAGGTGCCAGGCTATTTCCTATGTGTTTCTGCTGTGATTTTATATGTGTTTATATATATTATATAAGCACATATTATATGTTTATATAATATTATATATAATTAATATCATCCATATTTTCCCATTTTGGTTTCCTTTAGGGTTATGTTTCCTGATTCTGATTTAGACTCTGGTTGAATATCGAGAGGGTGGGGCCAAAACAGAATAATCAATCCTGCACACACAGATGTCCTTTGAAGTCTGAGGGAAATTATAGACATTAGTTTTCTTTTTCTAGCCTTATTTCCTGCTACATCACAGTGACAATTAAAAGCAACTGAAGGAGCCTTTAGATTTCAATCACTGGACTTTGGCAGATATCCAATCTTAGCCAAACCCATTGGGCCTTGGTGGCAAGTAAGTGGCATACTTGCCTTTGTTTCCTTACTGCTGTCTTTGACAAACATCTTCATTCCATCACTGCACTCTTTGCTGATCTGCCTGGATGTGGCTTCAGAAGCATGCTAAAAAAACAGTGTTGTAGGAAGCCACTTCCAATCCAAAGAAGGGACATACTGACTGGAATACATTTGCCGTGTTTAATCCGTTCTATTGCATGTAAAACAGGCTGGTGGAAATCCCCTAACTTCATTTCATGACCTGATGGAGCGTCAAAACCACCGCTTGAACAATACTGCTTCAGGGAACAGAACTAGCCACAGAATGAAATATGACTGATTTCAGCACAATGTCAAGAACATTTTGTTATGGAAAATTTAAAACATACACAACAGTAGGGTAAATGGGATAATTAACCCTCATGGACCCATTTCTATGCTGCAATTGTTACTGATCACAGCCAGTCTTTTTTTTTCTTTCTCTTATTTCCTCCCTGCTCTCCTCAGGTAGGTTATTCTGACACAAATCCCAGCCATGTTATGAGCATCTTGATAACATTCTTAAAAGAAAAAAACGATTTAAACCAAGTGTGGTGGCACATGCCTGTAACCCCAGCACTCTGGAAGACTGAGGCAGAAGGACTGCAAATTTGAGCCCAGCTTGGGAAATTTAGAAAGAACCTGTCTCAAACAAACAAACAAAAAACAAACACAAAATTCAAGAAGGTTTAGAGATGTAGCTCAGTGTGAAGGCCCTGGGTTTGATCCCTATTTCCACCTCAAAAGAAAGCAAATTTTAGAAAAATTTAAGCTCAATACCTGTTTCACCTAAAAATAATAATCATAATTTCTTGACATCATCAAGCATACAGACAATTTTCATAGTTTCCTAATTGTTACATTAATGCTTTGGTAATAATTTGCTTGGATCAGGATCTAAATAAAATTCATACATTATGATTGACTTATATGTTTCTAAAATGTTTACAAGATTCTTTCACTCCCTTCCCTGGTACACTTGCAGGTTATTTGTTGAATAAATCTTGCTTGTCCTTTGAAATTTCATATAATCTAGACTTTTCCAAACTTCCATAAGGAGACATGTGCTTTGTTTTCCTTCTTGTGGACCCACTGATGACTCATTCTCTACAACCATTAATAAGGACCACTTTTTAAACATTCGCTTTAATTGATAAGTGACTGCCTCAGAAAGCAACAAGAAGAATCAACTTATCAATTCCCCTTAGATTAATCTGTAAAACTGACTGCACTTCAAACAATATCTCACCGATTTAAGGGAGATATTCTAAAAAAGTAAATCTAGAAGAAAAGTTGTATAAGAACATCCAAGAAGATTTCTGAAAATGTTATTAAAGCTTATTGTAAAGGCACAGTGACTAAGTTATCACAGGACTAAGTCAAAAGACTAATGTTAGTTAATTCAATGTTGTTTATAATAGTGGAACATGGCAACAGCCTAGATGACTAACATTGGAGTAGAAGCTGACTGAGTTATGATACTTCAAAGGAGGCATAGCTATAATGTTGACTTTTCAAAGGTGGAAAAATTTTTATGGAAATATTGATTATATTCTCAAGATAGTGCATAAACAG